CAAACACAGCAGATGCACTGAGCTCTGGACAGACATGGTCCCCTGGCATAGTGGAGGCATTTTACTTTATTTATTTGTTTCGTCTTTTTTGAGACAGGGTCTCACTATGCAGTTCAGGGCCCTGGAGCTCACTTTATAGCCCAAGCTGGCCTGCACTCGCCTTGATCCTTGTGCCTCAGCCTCCTACATGCTGGGGTTGCAGGTGTGCACCCCACGCCAGCTAGGCATTTCACTTCTATGAAGGCCCAAAGGGACATCGTTATTATTTGTGGGTTTGTACAAACGGGCTGGTCTCTGCACAGAGTAGAGCTTGCTTTGGTAGTTACTTGAGTGGCCTTGAGGTGACCAGCAGGTATGCATTGCTTGCCCTGTCCAGAGACCACTGCTCCCATTGCCACCCGTCACTGCGCAGAGCTGCTGCCTCCTTTCATACTGCCACCCCACTTCCTCTCTGTTACACTCCTGTCAGGCAGCTGCTTGCAGGTCCTGTTGGGCCTTGCCTCAGTTGCACACCGAGAAGCCAGCGCTGGACTTGTGGGCTCGTCCTTCTATGTAGCTGGTTCGCTGTTTGCCCTAAAGCAAGTGACTGAACCTACTTGGAGGTCCAGTTAGCTCCCTACTTCACCACATGAAGAAAAAGAAGGGACAGAAGGCAAAGTGGAAGGGAATGGAATGGAAGGGAGGAAACAGGTCAGATTCATCTTAAAGAGTATATTTAACATGTGTCCAAAATGAAGTTTCACCTTGATGTTTTTTTGCATCTGTATTTGGTGCCATGTACAGAACAGCCAACATTTCAAACACTCATAGTTGCATGTGGCTGTCGCCTACTCTGTAGGAGAGCTGCAGTTTGAGGGACCAATTCCTATTGTTTCTTTATGTAATTTGTAATTGCCACAGAGTAATAGTGGCATTTCATAGAGAGATCGGCTCTTCAGCTACTTTCCAGCTCCCGGGTTTAATCTGTAGTTATTCAATCTATGGAATCTGTTCCAGTGTTTCTGTTGCTCTCCACGCTCCCTCCTCCACCTCTCCCTGCCCCCCATCCCCGGGGACTGATTTGGGGGCTATGCCATGGACCTGCATCTCCAGTCCTTTTTACTGTGTTCCTGGAGACAGAGTTATGCTAACTGGAGCAGATTGGCCGTCAGCTTGCATCCTTCTGCCTCTTCCTCACACGCATGTGGAATTACAGGCATGCTGCTGCCATGTATGGCTTGTTTTATCTTTTTTTATGAAGAAATGATGTTTTTTAAAGCATATTTATTACACTGCCTAATTATTATTTTGTCTGCTATATTAACTCTTGATTCTTGATATGCAAGTTCTTTCTATAATGAGTTCTGTGGGTTTTCTCAGTATTAGCTTTCTGTAACTTGTGTTGTGATTTGTGTGTTTATCGCTGCATTTAAAATTCCCTGGGGGTTTGTTTGTGTGTATTGTGTTTGTCACAGGCCTCCGCCCAGCTCCTGGAGCTGGGTCACAAGCTGGAGTGTCCAAAGCTCCTTTTGGGGTTTTTTCCTTCCGGCTGCTGACCACTGTCTGGTCTGCATATCAGACCTGACATCTGGTCCCTTCCCGTTCTCTAACTGGAGAACCTCTGAACCTCCTTGCTTTGGCAGCAGCTTTTATCTGTGTGTATTCTGAATGGTTGTTTCCTCTTTCAGAAAGGATAAAACATCTGCATTTCATTTTTCACAATTGTTCATAGTTTCTAGTCTATAAAGAGTGTTTGTTGCTTTCTAAAATGTTGGAGAGTTTCTAAGTTTTCTCCTCTTTCTGGGGACGTGGGGTTGGAAGGGAAGCACCAGTGTACCCTGGCAGCTACCTTGGTCTGGGCAGCAAGGCGTCCCAGCTGACAACGGATTGTAGACTGCCTTGTGGCGAACAAACTTCACTGCCTTCCTGATTTTCTTGCTATCATTTTTTTGTCTTTCCTTCCAACTTGTAATCCTGCTGCTTTTCCTCTGTAGCGCCTCTGGCCATGTGGTTAAATTGTGATCTGTCTGCTTAGGGCAGGAAGAGAGAAGCAGCACAGGAAAATGCCCTGAATAAATCCAACTACTTGCCTGTGCCAAAGACCTGGGATGAAAATCCACTCTCTGGTTCCAACAGGGAGCCATTTGGATATTGTATGTGTAAGCTAAAACTCTAAATTTTTTAAATTCCCCAAGCTTCAGAGGACTTTGCTGGCGCATGTATAATGCAGGTTGTGCTGACTAAACATAAAAAGAGATTTTATTTATTCTTTCAGTTACAATGGATTTCCAATATCCAGCCTTAAGTTGGTTAGCATGGATTTCTAATCAAAACCTAGATATGTAGAGTCAAGAAGAAACCCACAGAGCTAGAGGAAAAAGAAAAATAACATAATTATGCTGCAAATACAGCTTACAAATTAGAAAATCATTTCATGAGGGTATATACAATAGACACTTAGAGGCTGAGGTTTGGAGTTTTTCTTCTTAAAACTCAAATGGAAAGTAACACCTTCTTTAACAGTACTGATTATCTACCAGGCCAGTAGCTGAGGTCACTTAGGAGAATCTTACCAGCGTTTTCAGAGCTATCCCTTCCTTGGAAAGGGTACCAGAGTGGTGGGACCAGTCAGGATGTAGACTGAGGAGGGTAGGTGCAGGAAAGAAGAGATAATGTAAACAGTGGTCTTTTTATGAAAACCAGCCATCCCAAGGAACATGTCCTGTGATACTGCAGTCACCATTTCCAGATTACTGCCTGCTCCAACCCAGTCTCTCCTGCCTTTGCTGGGCTTCAGCTTTGGTGGGGCGCTTATCATCCAGTGCTGGCCCTCCTGGTGTCTCTTCTCACTTTCGTCTTTTGTGGAACAAAACCAGAGCTCCATGCAATTTCACATTCAGCATATAATTCCTGTCTGGTCTGATTCTGTTCCTTCCACTTCATGAACATTTATGGCAGCTCCGTACAGCCATAAAACTCCATCTGGACGTCCAGGTTTGCAGTCTTGGATATGAGGTATTTTCTTATCAGGGTGTCTTTGTTTTTACTGTGTTTCGCTCAGGCTGTGTGCTATGAACTTTCCATAGAAGCAAATTAGCAAATAGCAGTTCCATAGGGGAATTTCCAGGGTGCCCGCTCCATACTTGTGTGTGTCTGTGCAGCCTGTCCTGCCCTGGGCACAGGAGTGGAGCAGCCCGCTCTTCTCCATCATGCTCTTGGCAGGCACTGCGAGCAGGTGCTACTGTCCATATCAGCCAGGACTGAAGTGGCACAGCAAGGCCTAAGGAACAGTGGGGGACTGTGTGCCTCCACTTTCTCCGTGGTGCCCCCGCACCCTGTGTGTGCACAGAGGCGGGAGAGTTGACCCCTCCTCTGCGAGCTCATTCCGGGGACTCCGCCCTCCATACTATGTGTGGCGTGCCACTGCGATGAGCTTGTCTCCTGGTGCTGAGGGCAAGTCAGGTGTGTGGGGAGGCAGGCTTGCACGAGGCACAGCACCAGCGCCAGTGCAGGCCATGTGGTGGGAAGGCTGGCAGCTGTGCTCCCCAGCTGAGAGGCAGCAAGGGTGACGCTTACACACACTCCCTCTCAGGGCAGCACTCTGCTCTCACAGCCCCACCCCTCACTGAGCTCCAACACGGCCTGGAGAAGCCCTGCTCTCCCAGGAGGTTGTAGTCATCCAGTCCCATACCACCAGGGCCCTGCCAAGCCCTTCGGGGAGCTGAGCTTCACCGCCGAGTCCATCTGTGTGCCAGCTGGTTCTGTAAGCTGCTAAGTGAAGGCAGTTCACAACTGCAGGAGCCAGGCCCTCTGTCCAGTGACAGGATCCACCTAAGTCATCTAACACCAGGGGCCTGCATGCATTCTTTCTGCTTTTATGGTTAATACGCAGGGGAGCCACTGCTGTGTGGAAAAAAGGCTACATACAAGATGTCCATAAGGAGACTCAGTGTGGCCACAAGAGACCAGATCTGGAAGGCCTGGATGTGACTTGGAGTGGAGATGCCTCATAGGAAGGGACAGACACGCAAGGCTCAGCATCAGGGCTGGAGGAGACAGTGGGGGAAACACCCCAGGCCCCTCCCCAGTATCTCTAGAGTCTGGGCTTCTCCCAGGTCCAGGTTACTCTAGATAGAGGGACTCCAGAAGGCAGAATTGGAAGCTTCTGCTAGCAGGGACACAGGAAAGCCAAGAAAAGTTTTCTGTGCAGATGGAAAGACTCTCCAAGAACTTTGATTTGTTTGTTGTTTAAAATGGAGACACTATGAATAAATGCTTGCCTGGCAAGCACAAGGGCCTGAGTTCAATCCCTGGTCCTGCAAAAAAAATAAAATAAAATGGAGACACTAGAGCACACCCATGTATGCCTGAGAATGATCCACTGAATGGGGGTAATCTTTCAAGGTCAGAATTTAACCTTATAAGAGGCACCATAATGGCTACCCCGTTAATGGTTTCCTGTTGCTGATAAACCTTCTCTGTCTATCTCATGTCTTCCCTTTATGAAGTTCCTGAATTACAGAAGTGATTAGAAGCAACACCCACATGTCAGCCCTGGGGCCTTTGGGTCAGACTGTGTGGCCAGCCTTTCTGCTTGGTGCCTGGCAAGGCTGCAGTGCAGGTGTCACATCACTGGGCGCGGTGCACCCATGCAGGGAGTCTAGGGAGGGAGGGAGCTGCTTCTGAACCCCCTCTGCCCCATGGAAGAGTTCCGTCCCATGTGGCTGGAGAGCTCAGATTCCATTCTCCAGGTTGGCCGGTGCCAGGGACCTCTCAGTGCTTAGGGGCCTCTCACATTCCTTCTCGTTGCCTCCTCCGTCCTCAGGAACAGCAATGAAAACCTCCCTCACCTCAAATACCCCATACTTCAAATTATTCCCAGGAAGAGCCGGCCCTTTAGAGGACTCACCTGTCATTCGGACAGAAGAGGTGTCAACCGTTTGGCCAGATGCACAATTGCAACTTTGCTGACTATTCTTACCACAGGGTCCCTAGACAATGTCAGCCTTATGGCCATGAATGCCTTCACCCAGTTACCAGGGTCTCCAAGACAGTGAGGCAGGACAGAACTGTTTCCTCTTGCTGTGCAAAAGTGGCTTTTCCCTCAGAATTACCACATACGCCATATATGAGAAACTCGGTTCTCTCAACTACCCATGATACCAATTTGTAGGTCATGATTTCTTCTCTTAAAATCTCTTTAAAAAAAAAAAAATGCCTGGGAGATAGCTCAGTGGCATAAGTGCCTGCTGGCAAGTACAAGGTTCTGAGTTTGATCCTGGTACCACCAAAAAAAATCTCTTTTACTCTTGCCGTTTGTACCACCTGTTCCCAAGTTTGGCCTTCAGCAAATCAGGACTCAGTGTACTGATGGTACAGACGTCCTGCCACCTAAATATCTTAGTGGCCAGGCCGATCAGTGTGGCCACCATTGCGTGGTGACTGGCAGTGGCATTTGCATCACCTGTAGGTCCTCCGTGTAAGTTTGGATGCTTCCCCTGCACATAACTTGTAATCGTAGTCACCCGGGACTCTCCCTAGAAGCAGGGTCTTTGCTTTATCTTCGCCTTTTTTTTTTTTTTTTTCCACCTGTGGGTCTCCCTCACCTTCTGTCAGACACTTTCTGTGTCCCCAGTGGCACTGCCTGCCCAGCAGAGGCCCACACAGTAGCAGCTGGCTGTTTGCAGTGTCTTAGAGCAAACCAGCAAAACACCTCAAACTGTGTGTGTGCACTGCGACACACACCTTCCCAGGTCAGTGTTCTCCAGACCTGTAGGAACCAGTGTGGGCATTTTTGAGTTAAGAAAAAAAAAGTGTATCTTATTTCAACAGCTAAGTATGAATACAGTTTTGAGCCACAAAATAGTAGGTGGGATGAAGTACACTGAATGGGGTGATCTTACAAAAGGAGCTGCCCTGAGAAAAGTAGCAGCCAAATTCACCGTTTTATTAGGAGGGCCATTATTTTAAGAGGTGCTATTTTATTAAACTTGTACTTGCTGAATCTTCATATTTGGCTGATTTATAATAGCAGTCAAGCAATAGAAGTTGTGCAAAGAATTCCATAGATGCACATGGGTCTGCAGGACATGAATGGACTACAAAGTGTGCTTCTGGCTTCACTGGCATGGAAATAAATGGCTGAGCTCCAGCCAGGATGCCTAGAAAGGCTGAGGCTCACCCAGAGGGCGGAGGCAGTTACTGCTAGAGCAGTTGAGGTCTCTGTCATTGCCCTAGTGTTCCAAAATCTAGAGAAAACGTAGCCTGTCCTGGGACCCCAGCAAGACAGAGTGGCAGGGAGCTGCAGAGCACACAGCAGCCCTGGATGAGGCGGCCTGTGACCGGTGCATTTGCCAGACGCAAAGCACGTCCTAGGAAACCTGGAGGAAGAGTTCAACTGTTAGCATCCTCTTGCTGCTACTCCAGTAGAGTGGAGACACTGAGCTCTGGTTCCACAGGCCTGTGCTCGTAAACAGAGATCACGTCCCAGGCTCTGTGAGTCACAAGAGCCTTCAGCACCCGGCTTGGCAGACAGGCTCATCAGTGTGAACCCCGCTCTGCAGCTCTTGGCTAGGGCACATCTCTTCACTGCACTTCAAGTTCTGCATCTGTAAAATGACCATAATAATAGTGACCTTAAAGGCAGTTATGAGAATTATAAGAATGTTACCCTTGTAAAGGACTTAGAAATAGCTGCTGTCTGCTACCAGGATAGTCTGAAAAGTAAGGAGTCATTGCTTGTGATGACTACCATGAAATAGAAGAGCTGTAGTCCCTGTAGGGGCGTAAGAAGTAAGTACAGTTTGCAGTGAATAATATGAAGGAAATGACAAGGTACTGTGAGTGGAACATCTGTGCAGTCAGTGAGCAGAGCAAGCCTCTGAGCGGTTACATTTAAGTTGGAGGAAAGGAAAAGCGGCAGCAGAGAAGCCGCGGCCAGAGTAACGAGGAGCTGGTGGAAGCAGCGCCTCACAGAGGGAGGGGATAGCACAGACGTTACTGCAAGCGACTGCACGCATCATCGTGAGTGGAAAGCACCAGAGCACAGCACTGTGATCAGATCTGTGCTTTTATAGTGTCCCTGGTCATTAGGGGAAACCAAATCAGAAAGGGGGAAGGCGGAGCAGAGAAGCCAGTCAGGCTGTCACCAATCCAGGTGAGAAAGGACAGCAGCTTGGAGCCCTGTGGTGGGAGCAGGAACAGCATGAGGATGAGATTTAGCTTGCTGTGGTTGTGGAGGACGAAGGAAGGAATGGGGATGAGGGAGGACTCCCCAGCGCTGTTGGGGACCAGATGAGTGCTGTTGCCTTTTGCTGACACAGAAGAAAGTGAATTGGGTGGAAATTTCCAACACTGTGCTCTTGTCATGCTAAGCTGAAGACGCCTATTAATATGGAGGTGTCAAATAGACAAGTCCAGAGCTCCAAAGAAGGGTCTCGAGATGATTTAGACTTTTTAGCATGTAGATAGTTTTTAGGAATCTAACTTTAAGTGCATAGAATTAAAGAAAAGTAAAATTAAACTCTGGTTCAGGCCCAGATGCTTAAGTAACTCCCAACATCTGGAGGTGATGTGGAGCACAGCATACCACTGAAAAGACTGTGAGTGCAAGGTACAATCTGCACACTCATCGTGAATGTAAAGCAAGTCAAGAGCAGGCATGGCCAGCCGTGCAGATGCCGCTGCTGGGTGAGGAAGGACAGACGCCATGGGCTGAAGCGGCATGCTCACTGGGGACCTGACTGGGCCATTCCGTGGAGCAGAAGCCAGTTGGGGTTGAAGAGTAATAGAAGGCAAGGGAGAGGAACCACATATGGAGACAAATCTCAGTCTTAATTCCACATAATTAGCAATTGCTAAGAAATTCTGGCCTTGTGGCTGCGTGGCCGTGACTCCTCGCAGTTTGGTCTGATTACAGCTTCTCTGAGAGGTTTCTTGGCTGGCTGCAAAGCCACATAGCACCTCATCAGGACTGGGCGCCTGCTCACCCTGATTACTTTTTCTGACCATGAAGTACTGCCTGTTAGCCTAATCATGGGAGGGTGGTCCAACCTCCTTACTGCTTGCTCACAAAGCCGGACATCCAAGCTGCCAGGGTACCAGCATGCAGTGAGTCCTGCTTAGGCATCTGCCACCCAGCTCACAGACAGCCCACTCTGTGGTTTAGCAAATTACATTAAACCTCCCAGCAGGCGGCTGCCTCCCAGATCCCCTGTGGATATTCTGGTTAAAATTGTTTCAATTTAAAAAAACTTCCTGGCCATGCAGCTGTGCTAAGGTTCGTAGGTTCTTCTGTGATCACCATTGGTAAGGGGACCAAGTACTGTGCATGCGTGCCTCTACCTGAAATGCACGTGGACACCGGGAAGCTGGGTTTTCATAATTTCATTGTAATCCATCATTTTTTGTTTTTACTTGATGGTAAAATTTATGGTTTAAATTCATGAATGCCTGAACCTACTACTGGGAAGAAAAGAAGGAAATATACAGTGCTAGGCATTCTAGAAAACACTGTATTCATGCATTCCTGTTTGAAGAGGCATGTGACCATATAATGTTTCCATTTTGTTTTCTCAACTGGATGATGCCTAAGAAAATTGCTCATTTTGGCCTTAGGACATACACTAACTGCATAAATTCTTCCTAATGAAGCTTAAGCACATCCAAATTGGAAACAAGAAGGAATAGGGCATGACTGGTTGAGGCTTCGCTGCCACTTGTATTGGCAAACTGTGGTGGCTTGGTCCCAGTCATCCTGCGAGTGAGGAAAGCAGTAGCTAGGACTGTAGCAGCCTGCACATGGCTTGTGCGTACTGCTGGGTTCAGGGAGTGCCGCGAGCGCAGGGAGCTCATCCACAGGCCCCAGAGGAAGGCCCGCTGCCTCAGCGGCTTCCCAGTTTTCCCTGATGATGTGTCACTTGGAGTATTTAATGAACTACAATCCCTGAGTCTCGACACAAACCAGCTGAATCAGAATCTAGGAGAATAAATTGATAACAAACTTTTAAACAAGTGCTCTAGATTCCTGTTCTCTACTAGGAATACAAGTCACAGTGCAAGTCATATATATGTAAAGTTTTTCAAATTTTGTACTAATTTTCTTTTTAGTATAGTTATTTAGTGGAGAAATGCTTGCCTAACATGCTTGAGGCTACCCCATACCAACTTAATTGTTTCTTTCTTTTCTTTTCTGTATTTGGTACAGGGTCTCACTACGCAACTAGGACTTGTAATCCTCCTGTTTTCAGCTTCCCCAGTGCTGGGATTATAGGCATATGTCACCACTCCCTGTCTCAGTAGCCTGCTCAGTGCACCTGGGGGTGGGGCTGGTGCAGCATGTGGTCCTGGGGATCAAACCCCAGTCCCTGAGCTTGCCTTAGTAGGCACTTAGTCCACTGAGCTATCTTGCCAGCCCAGATTGTAATCTGAGTAGCATATTTAACCCAGTATAAAATATCTCAGGCTGTAAATGTACTGTAGTGGTAAAGAGCTTGCCTGGCAAACATGAGTCCCTTGGCTTCAGTCACTAGCACCATGAAAAATGAAGTAATAGATGTTTTATTATTTTTTTAAATGTATTTGGTACAGGGTCTCATTATGCAGCTCAGACTCATAGTGATCCTCCTGTTTTCAGGCTCCCCAGTGCTGGGATTATAGGTGTGTGCCACCATGCCTGGACTCTGTGGCTGGCTCAGCATACCGGGGCAGGGCCAGCTCAGCTTGTGATGCCAGGGATCAAACCCCAGTCCCGCTGCTTGCTAGGCAGGTGCTTTAGTCCACTGAGCTATCTAGCTGGCCCTAGGTGTTTTAAAAGGTATTGAGGTGTTTTTCTTTTTGTTTTATAGCCTCAAACTCCAGGGTGCATTTTATACTTAGAGCACATCTCAGTTCAGGGGGCCACTTCAAGTAGTACGATAGTGGTGGCCAGTGACTGTGCTCTGGATAGGACACACAGCTCCAAGACGCTTAACTTCAGTGTTTAAAAGATGCTGTAGGCAAGTGATACTGAAGTCAAAACTGCTAATGTGGAGTGTGCCTGTCGAATGAAAACAAAACCTATCTTAGGTTTGACCTTGCCCTGCAGCTGTAGTCAGTCAGTGACAGTTCATGCTAGTCTTTGTGCCCCTCTCTCACCCTTAGACCCCAGCAGCTTTGGGTGTGGTGTCCTGGGGAGTGCTCTGAATGCCTTATAATGGGCCAAGCAGGACTGGGAAGCATCTACCATCCTGTCCTGTCTTCATGGTGTTCTTCCTTTGGGGCTGGGCTGGTCCAGAAAGCTCCCTGTGGCAGCCTGAGGGCCGCCTGGTGCTCCGGAAGGAAGACCTTTGTGTTAGGGCCATGTCTGGAGGGTGTGGACTGTTGGGGAGGAAGGCAATGGTTCTGCCTTGAGTGGCTCTTTGTTGTGCATTTCATGATTTGTATTTTTAGTTCTCTTCACAATTTGCTTTTTTCCCTTTGTACAATCAACTTAGAAGAAATTGGAGCAATAACAAATGAGCAGTAACAGAATAACTCTACCCTTTTCTTTCCAACCAGTGGCATGGGGGTGGGGTGGCTCCTGGTGCTCTGAGCCTTACTTCCTCTAAAGGCTGAGGAAGCCGCTGTGGGGAGGGAGGGAATGCCGTCCAGCAGTACATTCTCACTTGTGCTAGGCAGTGCTGCCACGCTCTGATTCCAGTTGGAAATGCAACTAGATCCAACTGCCTGGAGACTGCTAGGCTCCGGAGCACACATCCTTCAGGAAGTGCAAGGCTCCCTGGAAGCTGCCCCCTATCCCAGCTCCAACCGCCCAGGGTAGCGAAGCACAACTGAGACTCCTTTACAGGAAGGACACAAAATTATAAAACTTAAAAGTAACAGAAGAGCAAAGTAGCACATCACTGCACATTGACCTGCATTACGAAGAGGCTACTTCAAGCAGGTGTTTTACAGCATGGACATGCCCTGATTAACTTAACCACTCCCCTGCTTGTTTTCCATTCTTAGGTTTGTTTTTTAACTAAAGCTGAAGCCACACATAACTGAAATATCTTGAGACCTATGCTCTTTGATAAAATTCTAAAAGTAAAGTTGCTTAGTTAAGGGAACTGTCCATTCTTTGGTAGTATTTTCCTAAGTACTACCAAACTGTCATATGAACTACTCAGGTGACTTATACTTTACAGTCTTCTAGAGGTGTCCCTTCCCTTAAATGCTGGTTTCCCACTAAGCTCCAAGGCAGTATTTAGCACAGGGTTCTGAAGAGCTGCTCTCCAGCACTGGAAGGGCAGGGCACCACTGCGGTTCATGGCGCGGTGCTGGAGACCCAGTGGAGAACCAAGCCAGTTACTGTGAGGCTGCTAAGTTTGTGCTGTGACACAGACTGACACCATTCATGTGACATCAGGGAAGATGATAACAGTGCTTTCTATGCCTGTGTCTTCTGGGAACTAGAGGTAAGCAGTAAGTTTCTGGAACTAGACTTGAGAAACTGCTCTTTATTGACTTTTTTTTTAACATTTATTTATTTATTGTGTGTGTGTGTGTGTGTGTGTGTGTGTGTGTGTGTGTGTGGCCAGCTCAGCCCACCAGAGGGCGGGGCTGGCTGGTATGTGGTGCTGGGGGATCGAACCGAGGTCCCTGTGCTTTCCCAAGCTTGTTTCAAGTAGGTGCTTTAGACCACTGAGCCATCTCGCCAGCCCTTTTATTGACTCTTTAGTCAGTGTAGATTCTATTTTTAAAAGGTACAGAACAAAAACAGTACAAATCAAAATGGAAATAAAATTTATGTACTTTAATAGGAAACAAGGACCTGTGATGTATCATTTCTACTCCTTCCTTTTCATTTTGCCTTTTCTGTTTTGCCAGGTAGGATCATTGGCTTAATGGCTAAGGGACCTGTCCAAGGTTGGCAGCCAGGTTAGACAGGTTTCTGTTCTTGAAGCATTGACTGGTCCAGCTGGAAACGGGCCTGGAGTCCAGCACACTCACAAGGGTTTCCACACCAGCCACAGACACCCGTCATGTTTGTTTGTGACACTGAGGTCTCTGAAGGACTTTCTTACTCAAGGCATAGGCTCAGATCCGCCTTGGAGGAGGCAGGAGTCAGTGTCTGTTCTTGCCCTGCTAGCCAGGAAGGCTGTGCTCCCCTGAACCCTCATGCTGTTTCTCTAAGCTGGCCTTTTGATGTGGAACCTGGCCTCTTTTCACAACTGCCACAGGAGTGGCGCCTCTGTCACCTCAAACTATTCATGGCAACATGCTCTTTCCTTGACACAGAGAAAAGAAGCTAAAGGCCAGAGTGCAGGAGCTTGTGAGTGCCTTGGAAAGACTCACCAAGAGCAGCGAAATCCGACATCAGCAATCTGCAGAGTTTGTCAATGATCTAAAACGGGCCAACAGGTAAAAGTTCCCCTGTATGTCTCAGTGCCACTTGGGACCCTGTGTACCTCTCAGAGAGCAGCTTTGGTCAGTGGGGTGTCCCCACCTGCACCCTAAGGGCAGCATCTCTCAGGACGCCAGACAGGAGCCTAAGAAATGCTCAGTAAAGATGAGTCCTTTCACGAAAGGAAACTAGGAAAAAGCAGATCAGTGTTTTGTTTTGCTCCCCCCCCCCCCCACACACACACACCAGGGAATGAACTCAGGATCATGCGCTTGCCAGGCAGGCACTTATTCCACTGAGCCATCTCCCTGGCCCATAGTTTATTCTTGATGGCTCAGAGAACCATACAATAAAGTGTGTCTAGGCCAATATTTTCAAAACAGAACTAGCTATAAAAATATTTGAGTATTTCCTTTAGGATGCTTTATACTATTTTTTAATTTTTTAAAAAATCTTTATTTGGTACAGGGTCCCACCATGCAGCTCAGACTCAGTGTTCGTCCTGTCTCAGCCTCCCCAGTGCTGGGATTACAGATGTGCCACTATGCCCCGTTCTGGGGGCTGCAACGGCATGCCTGGGGTTCCGGGGCTGGCATAGCATGCAGTATCAGGGCTCTTACCCTGATACTTTAGGCAGTAAAGTGCTTGCCAGACAGGCAGTATCTCCCCAGCCTGCTTTATACCATTTTAAGACAGAAGTCTCAAAATTTTTTTGGTTTAGGACTCCTTTACATTTGCTAAAAACTTAGTATTTTGAACAGCTTTCTTTCCTGTAATTTATTCTTTTCATACGAGAAACTACAACTGAAAACCTTGTTAAAAGGTTTTTTTTTTTTGTTTTTTTTTTTTTAGCACTGGGGACTGAACTCAGACCCTTGCACTTGCCAGGAAGCATTTATTCTACTGAGCCATCTCCCCAGCCCCAAAAGTTTTAATTCATTTTTTAAAAAATTCACTAGATGTAACACAAATAATCATCTTTTGTTTTTGTTTTGTGGTCCTGGGGCTTGAACCCAGGGCCTTGTGCATGCAAGACAAGAACTCTACCACTGAGCCACATGCCCAGCTCCTACAGATATTTTTTTTTTAATCTTACTGAGAAACAAAGAGCAACAAGACATTTTCAAAATAGATTTGGACAGTTTTATAATACATTGCATATTGTCTTTGTAGTGGTTATTCATACAAGATACAGACATGAAATCCTGTCCAAACAACTTAGTACAGATCTTTCTTCTCATTGAATTGAGAAAGTAGCTGTGTATCTAGCCTATTTTGTATATATAGATACAAAATGGTCCATTTATATCCCTTTTGTTTAGTTTTGTCAGAGATGGGTGTTCCATTCCCATTTAAATATTGTAGGTATGTGAATTCAGCAAAATAATCCAATAGAGTCCAGTAGTCCATAATAGTAGTGGGTTATCCATAGGACTGGCAATGTCAGAAGTTGTTGACTTGAGCCTTTTATAGCTCAGCATATTAATACG